TTATGCATCTACTACTATTACTCCACACATCGACCGCTATCCAGCATGCATCTAGTGTATTAAGTTCATGGAAAAATAGAGTAATGCATTAGGCAAGATTACATGATGTAGACAAGATAAAACTCACATATGAATAAACCCCGTCTTGTTACACTTAATACCAATGATACATGTGTCTCATGTCTCTTTCTATTAGTGAGATTGAGCACCGCAAGATCGAACCCATCACAAAGCACCTCTTCCCATGGCAAGATAAAGCAATCTAGTTGGCCAAACCAAACCAACAAATTGGAGAAGAAATACGAGGCTGTATTAATCATGCATAAAAGAGTTCAAAGAAAACTCAAATAATATTCATGGATAGATCTGATCATAAACTCACAATTCATAGGATCTCCACAAACACACCGCAAAAAAAGAATTACATTAGATAGAACTCCAAGAACATCAAGGAGAACATTGTATTGAAGAACATCAAGAGAGAAGAAGCCATCTAGCTACTAACTACGGACCCGTAGGTCTGTGGTAAACTACTCACGCATCATCGGAGGGGTAACAAGGATGATGAAGAACCCCTCCGTGATCGTTACCCCCTCCGGCAGAGTGCTGGAAAAGGCCTATAGATTGGATCTCGTGGTTCTGGAACTTGCAGAGACGGGAAAAGTATTTCGTCGACTCCCCTAGTGTTTTTGGGATTTTAGAGTATTGATAGAGGTCGAGGTAGGTTAAGACGGTGGTAGTGGGCCCCAATACCCACCAGGGCGCGCCAGAGGCCCCTGCGCGCCCTCGTGCTTAGTGGGCCCCACGAGCCTCTTCTTGTGGACTCCAGAAGCTTCCAGTGTCTCTTATCACCAGAAAAAGTCTCCAAAAAATTTCGTGGCATTTGGACTTCATTTGGTATTGATATTCTGCAAAGTAAAAAACTAGCAAAAAACAGCAACTGGCACTGGACACTAAATTAATAGGTTAGTCCCAAAAAATGATATAAAGTTGCTAGTAAGTGTATATAAAACATCAAAGATTGATAATATAATATCATGAAACAATAAAAACCTATAGATACATTGGAGACGTATCACTCGACCATGGAGGATGAGTTGTTATTGATGCGTGGTTGGCCATATCCGCGGATTTTGTAGGCAAGAGCAGAGGGGCAACCTTCTGGGAGCAAGTGCATGAAAAGTTCCATGCACAAAAGTACATTGCGCCCTACGACATGTACAACATGCAACACCGCAACGTGAGGTCGTTGTCATATCACTAGTACGCAATCCAGACCGACGTCACTTCTATGATGTGGTTCGTCAGCTCGAGGCAAGGTGGCCATTGCACGCAGCACAAGATGAGATCATAAGTTTTGTTTCCTCTTGCTCAACTTATTGATTGATTCATTCGTTCAATGTTGGCCTACAAATTATATGTACCCTACATGCTCAATGTTGGTCTACAAATTATATGTACCCTACACGTGCAGGTGTGCAAAATCGAACCAAAAACCAAACCAAAATTTTGGTTTGTTTAGTTTTCGGTTTCAGGTCTCAAATACAGAAACCGTTGAACCTTCGATTTTTTCAGTTTGAGACCAAACACCGTTCAGTTAAATTGAAAACCCTCATCCACCCATCCTTTTATAGCACTACGCCCACCATGCATCTTCTCATTTAGCGGTGTGTACTAAACCACAGTGCACCTGGTCACCTTTTTTTGAGCGAATGCACCTGGCAGCTCGCGCATGCATTGCTGGTTTGTTTAGGCCTCAAATGGTCCAACCAGCCCAGTGAGAAAGCTATTTGGGCCTAAAAAAATTCAGCACAGGTGACGTTGAATGACTTGGAATTAGCATCTTCACATGACATTTGGAACTTCAACGAGCATTTGGAATGATAATTGGCTCCCATGCAACGAGATGCTCGTTCCTATGGGTTTTTGTCTCCCAATCGGCCCACTCTTGTCTCAGAGCTTATTGATTCAACGTCTGCAACTATGGTTAGGCAAAGAGTGGAGGAGGTTTTCATGCCAATGGACATCCCTGTCATTCTTGGGATCCCTCTTTGTACAAGAAACATACCATATTTTTGGAGCTGAAATTTTGAAAAGAATGGCAATTTCACGGTGAAGTCTTCCTATAGGGTGCTTGTCTCTGCTAGGCAAAGGAGGGAGGCGTGGCTGAAGGGTAGCGTCGGCCCCTCTACAGTGGCAAGGGAAGAGAAGCTTGGAAAACTTTGTGGAAGATCAAGGTACCGGGAAAAAGTGAGGATGTTTTTATGGTGTATGTCCAAACATTCGATACCCACGAACGACGTAAGGGCCCATAGGCATATGACAGACTCACCGGCGTGTGATTTATGTGGAGCACCAGATTCATGAAGGCACTCTCTCGTTAGCGTTGTACTATGCCATGATGCACCTGGGCTCTTGTTGTTGATGAAGTGGCACAACAACTAGCATCTACCACCGAACCAAATGCTAAACAATGGATGTTTACAATGATGGAGCTGCTATCTCATGACATGTTTGTGAAACTCTCTGTTACATTATGGGCGATTTGGGCACCTCGCCGGAAGGCCATCCACGAAGGCATTTTTCAAAGCCCTCGGAGATTTACTCCTTCATCAATCGGTTCAATTGAGGAACTAGGTATGATCTATGATGGAGATAAAGTGACTACCAAGCACGCTGAGGTAGCCATGCAGGCTCCATCTCAGCGCCCTAGGGCGCCACCCGCGGGGTTCTATAAATTTCATGTCGACATTGCAGTACGTCAGGGAAGAGGTGGAGCTACTTTTGCTATATGTAGGGATGGCGAAGGTAATTTCATGGGTAGTTCGTCATTGGTGATTGTTGGTGTTCAGGACCCAACCACTCTCGAAGCCTCACGGTAAGGGAAGCTTTAGCTCTCGACAAACCTGCATGTACAAAATCTTGTCGTCGCCTCTCCTTGCAAGCAGGTAGTCGAGGACATCACGAATGGAAGAGGATGAAGATATGGAGCTATCATCAACGAAATAAAACTCCAGTCGGCTTCTTTTAATTGTACTTTTAATTTCGAGAGTCGTAGTGTGAACTTAGAAGCTCATAGTTTAACCCAGCATTCTCTTACTCTTGGTCCAGGACGTCATGTTTGGTCTGGCCAATTCCATGACCAACATTGTATCCCACAATCTGTGGTTTTTGATGAATACAGCTTAGTTTTTCTGCAAAAAAAAAATCTTAGTTTTTCCAAAAAGAAAACCTTCACATGACACGACATTCCTCAAGAAAACATGTCACGAGAGCTCATCCGGGAACGATGCTCTATATGCGTGCGCATCTACTAGAGATCAATCGATCATCGACAGGAACAACAAAGCCACAAGTTCCTTGCTTTTTATTCCTTCAGACATCAAACTTGACCAATTAAGTCGTTTGGTTTAGTGTTTTAGTGGACATGTAAGTCTAGGACCAAATCATGTCTGCCTCTAATCTATGTACGCGGTTCTCACACGAACAATCTAACCAACATACACGGACCGAATAATGTGACCAAAAATTTATTTAAGTTCAAAAATTCGCGTCAACTTTGGTTATTTTGGTTATTACCGTAACCGAATCAAAATAAAACGGTTATTACTGAAATCGAACCGTATCTATATATAAAACCGTATAAACCGGAGTATAAAAACTGTGTAAACCCACCGAATCAAATCGAATAAACCGAATGCATACCCTGAGCTGTCGTGGTGTACCACAGGACAGATAGACGACCATTTACGTACATAACACTATTGAATGAAGCTGAAGGGGAAGTATGTGTGGAACGACATGATTTGTTGATGAAATATTTGTTGGACATCCGGTTAATCTAGTCGAATTTGAGATATTATTACACTACACTTAATTTGCATGCTATATATGGAAGGTTTATGCTATTTTCTATTTGAATTTTGATAAATATTAATTGACTTGCATGAATTTCAACCGGTAAGTTAAAATGTATGGAAAATGCTTCCAAACAGTCGGATGTTTACATCCGCATCTCCAGCCGCCTCTCTAGTGAGGCCCACCCACGTGCCCCTCTCTTTCTTATCTCCTTCCTTTTCTCTTTTTCTTCTCCCTGCACACGAGATGTTGGCGGCGCTGTGCTATGAGGCGCAGCTGCAGGAGGTCAGCGACGAGCCGGATGCAGCAACGCCGGTGCTACGACGCCGTCGCCGTGCTGCAAGCCAATGCTGCGCCGACTAGCGCATGCTTTTGAAACAGTGCTGCTCTGACGCCGTGCTTCAAGTAGATGCTGCCGCAACCGGCGACCAGTTGCGACGCCGCCACCATGCTTCGAGCCAATGTTATAATGGCGCCACCGTCCTGCGAGCTGATGTTGAGACGCCGCTCGCCGGAATCATCCGGTGCTGCGTGGCCACACGTCGGTGCTCCCCAGAAGCATCTGATGTTGCGAGGCCACTCGCCGGTGGGAACATAGGTGCTGCTCGGCTGCTAGCTGGAAGCATCCGATGCTGCGAGGCCGTCATGCTGCGATTCGGTGCTGCGACGGCGCCACCGTGCTGCCATGGCCATCATGCTGTGAGTCGGCTCTGCCAGCTCGGGCTACTCTGACGAAACTGCGACGACGATTTGCAACGACGACTCGGGCTGCTCCGGCGGCTGTGACGGCGCCGCCATGCTGCGAGGCTGCCGGAGTTGCTACGAGTTGGTGATGCCGGCGTTCTACGGTGCCACCAGAGTTTGCTACGTATGCGAGGCTATGTGTGCGGCGTTGTGTGATTGAGAAGAAAGGAGAGAAGTCTATAATGCGTTGACCTCCATCGGACAACGAGAGATGTCCAGATAGATGGTTCAGGAGGCGGATGTTTTTTGCTTTTTCTACATTCGAATGATGCCTAGCAGCGGCCAAAAGGTATGCAACTATGATTGAATGGCGGCCTTCTGTGACGGGCTGGTCTCTGCCCACGGATTGATAGGATAGGAAATTTACGAGTTGTCACTCAAGATGCCCGGACTGAACTATGCTTTCCCCTCACGTTTCATCCTGTCTGATATTCCCCTTTCTCGTAGCCGTTTCTCCTTCTGTGCTCCCTGAGCGGCGGCGCACACCACCTGTTCGACGGAACACCGCTCCAGAGCTAGAAGCTTCGTCCATGGCGAGCGGGGTGGATCGCATCAGCGCCCTCCCGGATGACGTCCTCCACCAAGTGCTCCACTTCCTGCCGTCTCAAGAGGTGGTGCGGACATGCGTGCTCGCCCGGCGCTGGCTCGGCGTCTGGAGGTTCATGCCCGCCTTCCGCTTCAACGGCGCCAAGGGGTGGGGCAGCGCCGACAGGTTCGCCCAGTTCGTGGACCACCTCCTTCACCTCAGATTCGGGGGCGACGGCGGCAGATGCGCGCCTCTGGATTCCTGCGATTTCGACTTCGATTCCGACGGGTTCATGCGATTGCCCGCTAACGAGCAGCATGCGAGCAACTGGATCTGGAAAGTCGTGCCCAATGTACGGATGCTCCGGCTTCGCGTGGTCGAGTTTGGGCAGGAACCCTCGCCACTATCTGATCTGCATCTCGTTTCCCAGCACCTCACCAAGTTAGAGCTTGTTGGTGTCGGTGTGAAAGACAGCGTTGTTGATTTTTCAGGCTGTCCGGCACTGGTGGAGCTGAGTATGGATGTTTGTGATGTTTTTGTCAAACAGCTGTTGTCTCCATCCTTGAAGCATCTGCGCATTACCCGCTGTTATACCTCTGAGTACACTCGCATCCTTATTTCTGTACCCAGTCTCGTTTCGCTTGAGTTGATCGAATGCCGCCAAGGAAGGGTTCCATTGCTTGAAAGCTTGCCGCGGTTAGCGAGAGCTGTTGTTGTGCTTACCGATGATTGTAGTGATCGATGCTCGAAGGGTCGATTTGATAATTGTGGTGCTGATATCTGTGAAGATTGTTGGTGGTATTATGGGGATCCTGAATATGGGCCTATATATGACCGCAATAACAGCATCTTCCTCAAAGGTTTATCTGAAGCTACGGACTTGGAGTTGTCGTCTGATTCTGAGTTGGTATGCTTGCAACTACTTCTCTCTTGATTCCTAATGCTATATGGTTACTGTTTCATTATTTCTGATGCATCAACCACATCCATCGTCACAATCACAATTAGTTTGACATACTTCACACATAGCCAGATTGCACTTTGTACTACAAAGGCCAAAAAGTTATAATTTGATCTGGCTCTTTTGCGGTTTCCCTAGATTCTTTTCGATAGGGATTTGAAGTGGTGCCCTACATTTACCAAGTTGAAGACTTTGTTACTCAATGATTGGTGTTTGGCTGCCGACCACAATGCACTGATTTGTTTTCTCCAACACTCGCCGATTTTGGAAAAGCTTACTCTTCAACTTTTTAAGGTATATATTCTTAAGATGGATAGTTGCCTGTGTTATTAAAGTGACCATACACGATACCTGATTGATCCTCTTATTTTATCTTAGGGACCTTCATATGTGACTGAAACAGAAGGAATGTACAAACCATTGGGACTGTCAGTTGCATCCAACTGTCTTACAACCGTTGAAATCAGATGTGCAAATGTTGATAGTAAGGTTCACAGACTTTTGAAGATACTGACTACCTACGGTATACGCCTTGAGCAAATTAGGGTCCAACAAACTAGCAAAATTTCTGCACCTGGATGTAAGTTAAACTGCTGGCGCTCTTCATGCTCCTCGTGTCTCTTCCATTTGTTAATATGTTTATTTATGCTTTATAAATCAGGCAGTGAAGAAAACCAAACTAATTAGATAAATATTATTGTTAGAATTTTTTATGTATACAACAACAACAACAACAACAAAGCCTTTAGTCCCAAACAAGTTGGCGTAGGCTAGAGGTGAAACCCATAAGATCTCGCAACCAACTCATGGCTCTGGCACATGGATAGCAAGCTTCCACGCACCCCTGTCCATAGCTAGCTCTTTGGTGAAGAATTTTTTATGTATATTTGCACACACAAAAAAAATTATGTATGTGGAGAAACATGTTTAGGCTCCCCATATTTGATGAAGTGAAAGACAACAATGTACGATGTACATGTTTGTAACTGGCTTCATTATATCCAAAAACCTGTACTATCAATTTGGATTTTGGATTAAACTACGTTGTATGCACAAATTAGTTGATAGCAATTACACATCAAGCAGCTGCAATTGCAATTATGTATTTGGCATTACATAGGAGTTATAATTTATCGACATATTGCAAATAAATGGTCCCCATTATTCTGGGTAGATAGCATATAGGCGAATGCTAACCTCTATCCACCCATTTTGATTGTTTGTGAGTCATCTTGTGTGCAATCTCACATATCAAATAACCAGAAAGGAAGCCAAAACATTTAGTCCCACTTTACAATATCTGGATATTAAGAAGTATGTTACAAATGAAGCTCTTATTATAAGAAAATATACATATTTCCATATTACTGACCAAGCATTCAAAATTCCCATTTGTATGTAGTAGGTTCTCTCAGAATTGATTCTGTGTTTTCCGTACCTTTGCAGGTTTCCATTTTGTTTGCAGTAGTTTCAGCTAAAACTAGAGGTATGATGATCTGAAGTATTTCTTAGACTTGGGTTCCCTTTGATTCTTTAGAAATGCATGGAGCAAGTTTGGGGTTGTGATGTGTCTGTATGGATCTTATGGTTATTCCACTTAGCATATTATATCTTTGACAAGCGATTTCATGTGCCGGCTTGCACTTTTTAAATGTCTTGATTAAGTTGGATTAACTATTACTACGATCTTCTATAATGCAACCCTATTCAGGTATCCAGCAATATATGCCGTAGATGTTCACTATGTTTGCTTCTTATATTGACAGAATATGTGCATATATATAAATAATAATAATAAAAGTTTAAAAAATAACTCGCTGGTCGGATGAAAAACAAACTGAGTTCTCAGTGCAAGAAAAGAGGAATGTACTCAAAACTTGCCCTTCAGATCCAAATGTTAGTCGCAATTCTCAAACTACTGTTGCGCTGCTCGTTCAAATGCACTTTGAGCACATTTCTTTTATCACCGTCGTGTTGTTAACTAGAGCTGTCTATCTTCTGCTGATCTTTCTTATGATCTCTGTGGCATATGCTTGTCTAGGTACAATGTCGAGATGGCCTATGACAATAAGTTAGTCAGCCACATTCTCTCCACAGGAGGAGAGGTACTTCGCCACATTCAACAAGATGCTCATCATCGTCCGCAATCCCGTGCTCTCCATAGCTGCTTGTCATCGTTCCAAAGCCGTATCTCTGTGGTTTTGTACTCCATACTAGATCATTGCAGTAGGAGTACGTCTGCTAAAGAATGTTTCTTGGTTCATGAAAACTTTTGCGCTGAGAATTTTTCTGAGTTTCTAATCAACAGGCTAAAATTGTTGTGCTATCATCTTGTGAAAGGATGATGCGCCAATCTCAACCATAGGTTCAGCCGCATTGGCTTGTTGCTAAGAACCACATTGGCTTAAGTGTTATTGTGAGCTTGAGCTCACATGTTCTTGAGTGAACAGTAAATTTCACAAAAATAGTAAAAAAATCTGAACTTTTTTGCAAGAAACATTGATGCTTTTTCTACACGCATGCAATTTTTCATGATGGAATCTGTGGAGGTGTGAGAAAAAAAATTGATGCTCCAAAAATGCCAACACCTCCACAAATTTGTTTTCATTGTAAAAAAATGCATGTGTGTAGAAAACATCAATGCTTATTGCCAAAAAGAAATCATAAATTTTTTGATTTTTTTGCTCTTTTTGGATTTTACTGTTTACTCTAGCTCATGTGAGCTCGATCTCACAAACTCCATGTCCGGTCCGCAAACAGTTGCATATCGAGATAGGTGGTGGGTTAGGGTTGGCTGTAACAACATGCAGAGAATGATCTGCCAGATGCTCAGAAACACACAGGAGTGTACAACTTATTCGGCATTTTTAATAATTATAGTTACATGCATCACCCCATGCAGAGGTCAACGATGTCCTCCTCTTAACACAGGAGTTTGCAACTGTGTCACTTTTGCAACATGGACAGTGAACATAATATAACTTCTTTTTCTTTTCAAAAAGGAGGTTACCCGGCCTTTGCATCCTTGAATATGCACATTCATTTTTATTAAATTATTCAACAAAGTGTAACAGAAACATATGTCAAACAACCTAAAGTCATCACTAGAACCAGGGTCAATACCGAGCCACACGCATGGTGTACCAGGAGCACACCTCACACCTTCGGTCTAGTAGACCCTAAGAGTGTATCAAATGCACACACTTTAGAAGCCACCACCACTGTCGAACTGCTGATCTATCTTCAAATAATCGTTCCTTTCAGCATAATTTTCATGTATCAGTTTCCTTGGGAAAATTGGTTTTCGTCAAGTATTTTATAGGCCTGCTGAGGATAGAAGCACCAATCAGTTTCTAAATTAGAAGCACATATTTACGCTTTTGTGAATTTATACAGGATTGTCCCACTCAACTTCCTTTGTAAAACATATACTTAAACCCCAACCCACAATCATGTGGGGAGGCCGGGCTCGTGGCTATCGGTTGAATGTACATGACACTACTTAGGCATCTCCAACGCGGACCCTGAAACCACCCGTATACGTCTGGACTGCGCGGTCCAGACGTCTGTTGTCATCCAACGCGTGCCTGTGTCGGCCCATTCGGCGGTTCAAGTGCATTTTTTTCGCAAATCGAAGACAAAGTAGGGGAGAGGGGTTGCGAGCGTCCAGACCGATGCCACTTTCGCTTCTGACTGCCTTGGCCCACCCAAAAATCCTCCTCCCTCGCCCGTGCGCTTTTCCGTGCTTCACGGAAGCAGAGGCCACTCCGATGAGCTATTGGACATAGGGAAGGTATGGGGGAAGCGGAGGCAATTCTTCCCCTCTCGCTCAAGCATATCCCTCTAGGGCCTTCAGCTGTTCGAGCGGGCTGCCGGACATGGGGAAGACATGTCAGTGTAGGGGGCAGGGCTTCATTTCGCGATGCTCATGGCCGGCCGGAGATGGGGAACGAGCGCCGACAGTAATTTTAGTCTAGGTTTAGAGTCCAATCTAGTAAAAAAATATCTAGATGTAAGGAATTTGAAAAGCATCCGTTTTTATGTAAAAAATGTCAGGTTTGTTTGAGTTTGAATTAAATTTGTTCATTTTCATCGAATTTCATTTGAAATGCGATCGAATATATGCGGTTAGTTTTGGATGGCCGGCTGCCGCATCCGTGTCCACCAACTGGTTCCTGTTCAAGGACGGATGCGGGAGCAAATTTGCGGGTCTTGAAGTTGCCCTTATACCCTCGGGAAAAAAAAAGTCAGCTCTGCTTTCCCTTCCCTTCCTCGTATAGCCGTTCTTTTCCTGTGCTCGCCGAGCGGCGGCGCACACCACCTGTTCGACAGAACGCCGCTCCGGAACGGGAAGCTTCGTCCATGGCGAGCGAGGTGGACCGCATCAGCGCCCTCCCGGAGGACGTCCTCCACAGCGTGCTCCGCTTCCTGCCGGCTCAAGAGCAGTCGTTGCTCAAGAGGTGTTGCGGATGGGCGTACTCGTCCGGCGCTCGCGCGCCGTCTGGAGGTCCGTGCCCACCCTTCTCTTCACCGACCCCGAGGGATGGGGCAGCGCCTGTCGGTTTGCCGAGTTCGTGGACAACCTGCTCCACCTCAGGTGTGGGGGCGATGGCGGCGCAGGCGCGCCTCTGGATTCCTGCGAATTCAACTTCGTTGACGACGAATTCATGCTATCGCCCGCCAACCAGCGGCGCGCCACCAATTGGATCTGGAAAGCGGTGCACCGTGTCAGGGTGCTCCGGCTTCATATCGTCCATGAGCAGGAACCCTCGCCACTATCTGATCTGCATCTCGTTTCCCAGCACCTCACGAAGTTACATCTTGATGGTGTCTCTGTCAACGACAGCATTGTTGATTTTTCAGGCTGTCCGGCATTGGTCGAGCTGACTATGGAGTATTGCGATGTTTTTGTCAAACACCTGCTGTCTCCATCCTTGAAACGTCTGCGCATTGCCAGCTGCGATAGTTCAGAGTATACTCGCATTCTTATTTCTCTACTGTTAGAAGGGAGAGAGGGATTGGTGGAATAGTTGTTCGTTGTATTGCTTGAGCCTCATGGGCATATATATAGGAGTACATGATCTACTTTGAGTACAAGGCAAGCCAGAATATTTCCTAGTCTAACCTATGTTTCCTAATACAATCACGTTACTCGACATCCCCCCGCAGTCACAACGGTAGCGACGCAGACGGTGAGACTGGAGAAAAATCCGAAGGCA